AAAAAAAAAATATATAAATATATATATATATTTATTTATTTATATATATATATATATATATTTATATATTTATAAAAATTTTTTTTTTTTTTTTTTTTTTTTTTTTTAGCTGAAACAATGTTATCAATGATTTTTTTTTAAAAGATAATAATGCTAATAACCTTTAATCAATGTTCTCAGCAAGCTGTATTGAGCATGTTCACATAAGTGTGGGGCTACAGTCATTCATTTAGTTTTGGCTGTATTTGTTTTTCTACTAACAAGTTACTGGTAGCAGCTCACTTGCATGGAATGAATCAAAATACCAGTTAAAAATCTTATTTAACAGCTTAATTTGTCCGTTGTTTGGATAAAAGTTTCTGCAAAATTATTTATAATAAATGTTCTAAATGAATAAAAAAACGATTAACCTATATCTGAAAGGCCTGAGCATCAGTAAATCAATGAATGAATGAATGCGAGTGAGTGAGCTTTAGTATGGAGACCAATTCTTACTTTTAACTACCTGTAGTTCTTTATTAGCTTTCATACTGGCTATAAAAACTTATTAAAACACATATTGAATGTGGCAGCTCTCTGCATCTCTCACGTTCACCCACTAAAGCCCGGTTAGTACCTGGATATAAGAACGCATGGGAAAAACTAGGTTGCTGCCGGAAGTGTTGGTGTGGGTCCTAACGCCCCAGTTTAGTGGAGGGGATACTATACTGTCAGTGAGCGGCATCTTTCAGATGAGACATTAAACCAAGGTCCTGACTCTCTTTAAAATTCCTTAGATGTCCTTCGAAAAATAATAGGGTTTTAACTTCGGCATCCTGGCCAAATCTGCCCCAAATCATAATTAGCTTCAATACTCTGTCTCCTCTCAAGCAAATCAGCTTGTGTGGTGTGCGATTTTTGGTGCAATATGGCTGTCGTAGTATTATCCAGATGATTGCTGCACACTGATGGTGGATGAGGAGATTCCCCCTAATGTATAAAGAACTTTGAGTGTTTAGAAAAGCGATCTATAAATGTAATGAATTATTATTATTAATATTATTATATTAATGCCCTACTCTGAATAACCATATCCCATCCCTTTCCTAATCTTAACTACAGTACTACAACAACCTTAGTAACAATCAATATACAAGTAAATCAGGAGTTCATTAAAGCAATAGATAGTGTATACACATTTCCCACACCAACATGTTATTACAATGTTCCATTTTGACTGAACTACTTCAAGTGCATTTACAGTACAAGCATAAACAGACAATCTATGAACAATTAAAATGTACAGACCACAACTGCATTAACCTAATCTGTTCAAACAGAGGCATCAATAACAGACTTCTTAACAACAAAACAATGCTAGATAAGCACTTTCCCACCATATAAAGGAACTAATAAATCAGAATACAACTTGCAATCCCTACTATTGAAGAGAATGAGTTTGTTATGAAAAGAAGGTTGTGAAACAAGACCACACACACTAAAGGCTTTTTTTTCTCATCACTTAGTAAATACCCCAAAATGAGGCAGAAATAAAGATTCTGAGTAAATGAGCATGTATGCTGCACATATGAAGTCTTGTCTGGTTTTTGATTATGCTTGATATTGTACTTTTTCTGAAAGAGGTTTAAATGGACAAACTGAGAAAGACTAATTCTGAATAAATAAACAGACATCATGTTACTGATATGAATGCAGTACAATTCAATATAGTACATATGCAA